CCCTCCGCGCCGAAATCGGTGTTGATGACCTCCAGGAAAAACTCCGCCGGGTTGGAGTACCGCGGGCACGCGTGGCCATGCGCGGCAAAGTGCTCGATGGCGACGTCGGTCGTGGGGCCGAAGTAGACCTGCTGGCCCTTCGACAGCAGGCACAACGAGTCGAAGAGGCCGTAGGCCCTGGAGCTCGCCTGGTGGATGCTCATGACGACCGTGTGGCCCTTCTTCGCGACGTCGCGCAAATGCTCGATCACCTGCATGGCGGCCGTGGAGTCCAGCCCCGATGTCGGCTCGTCCAGCAAGAGGATGGGGGAGCGATGCAGCAGCTCGATGGCGATGCTGAGGCGGCGCTTCTGGCCTCCGGAGATGCCCTTGATCAGCGGGTCTCCCACTCGGGTCTCGGCGCAGGCCAGCAGTCCCATCTGCTCAATTACTTCCTGGATCACCTGCTCTCTGCTGTTCGAAGAAGCATCGGCGAGCCACGAGGCGTAGCGCAGCGTCTCGCGCACAGTGAAGCACGTGAGGAGCGAGTCCTCCTGCGTCACGTAGCTGACGATCTTACGGAGATTCGCAGGATGCTGCTTACAGCCGTATAAGATATCGCCCGTTGTGGTCCCACTGCCCACGCGACCGCCCAATAGGTCAAGCAACGAGGTCTTGCCGCATCCCGAGGGGCCCATGATGGCCATCATCTGCCCAGGATCGCAATGACCAAACACATTGTTCACAATTGTTTTACTCTTACCACCCCGCTGCGACACCGTGTGAGTCAACCCCGACCACGAAATTGGATAGCGTCGCTCCACGTCCTTGATGCCGGTCACAGGTGATACTTTCGCCATTATTTGCCGACAGCACTCTGGACCTATGGCACTTGCAAAGCGCAAGGGTTCGAAACCAGTCGAACGGTTTGGGCCAAAATGGCCTGAGCCAAAATGACAGGAGGGCCGTGACTCGCTGGCACCACCGCCTGCCACCCCGCGTACGAACCCACAAACTCGGTGGCGAGCGAGGGGGGGAAGTGAGAAAGAGAAGGCCTCTCAGCAGGCGGCGGGCCTTCTCAGAAGCCCTCGCGCCTTCTGAGAAGGTTTTCTGCGTCTTCGGGGAAGGCTCAGGAAACTTCTCAGAAAGCTTGGGGACTTTCTTTCTGAGAAGGCCCGCCCTTCTCACTTCCCCCCCGTGGCTCGCCGCCGACACACAGAAACTCTTGCCATTTCGGCAATCGCGGAGGTTTTGCAAGTTGAAAGGTTTGAGCATTGAAGAGCTTTGCGTGGGCCTTGCGGCGGACGGTACGGGCTCTGCGTTGCGAGAATCCATGGAATCCATGCGCTTGCAACCTCTAGGGCGTCCGTGTCAAGCTTAATTTAGGCGGTTTGGTGTACAGTCCGTGAATACTACACACATAAAAATCGGAGTGATGGGGGTCAACCGACGGGTCATTCACTGTCGTTGGGTGCGTGGCTGAACAAAAGTTCCGCAATGCGGTTTATTGTTGTTGTTGATGTTGTTGTTGTTGCTGCTGGTGTTGTTGTTGTGGTTGTTGTTGCTATTGTTGTTATTGTTGAACATTATTAATTCTAAAGAATAATTATTGTTGGGACCCCTGGTGCACGGCCCCCCTGCGCCGCCTAGGCCGCAGCTACATTTTCATCATTTTCGTGAGGAAGCCTCAGGTAATACGATGTCATCAAGATCCGGTTGTTTTGTTGTAATCCGTTTTCCCTTGCAAAAAACACTATAAAATGACATTTCTTGTTCTAATATAATCAAATTTCAAGAATCCCTTGCAAAAAATAAGGTAAAGTGGACATTCGCGCGCGCAAGACGAAATCCTTCCAAAAGCTTAGTGTTCGGAGCGATTTTAACATAAAAACATCAAAAAACCAATGGTTTTTCAACAAAAAAATGTCAAAATCTCATCCCGCGCGCTCTTGCGGATTCGTAGGAAACCCAACACTTTTTAAACATTTCTGTCAAACGGGCTTTTGCGAGCAACTTTTTCGAACTTCTGCGACAACGGTTGCGCACCTGCCAGGGCCATCATCCCTGTCAAATAATACCATGCGGGACACATTCGTTTTTTCTTCGCGCGCGCACGCCGAAATCTCCAAAAACCATTGGATCAGGACAACCATCGGGACAACCATCGAGACAACCATCGGGACAACCATATCCTCTCTCTCTTGTGTATTCCCACATCCCTCAGGAATTTGCCCTAAAGATGTGATCAACTATCTTGTGAGTACGTATCATGTGTATCATGTGTATCATGTACCATATGCATCATATGCAACAGATGTTCTGTGGAAGGCTTAACAACTTCTGTGGGTTAACAAGGCTTAACAACTTCTGTGGGTGTACGAACGTAGGCTTAACAACTTCTGTGGGTGTGTACTCCACGCCAGTGTAGTAGCCACGGTCGTCCGCAGGCCACGAAGTGAAGTGTCCGAACGTCATAGGGCGGGAAGCTGGGTGTGGGTGGTGGCGAAGAGTCGTGTGGATATTTGGTAGAGCTTGCACTGCCCCCCCACAAAGTGGGAGTATTGGCTGGCGTCGCATGAAAATCCTGGCACTGGTGAGAACACTGAGCGTTCGGGTAAAGTGATTGTTGTGATTGTTGTTGTTGTTGTTGTTGTTGTTGTTGTTGTTGTTGTTGTTGTTGTTGTTGTTGTTGTTGTTGTTGTTGTTTGTGGTTTGTTGTTTGTGGTTTGTGGTTTGTGGTTTGTGGTTTGTGGTTTGTTGTTTGTTGTTGGTTGTTTGTTGCTGTCGTCGCCCAACCCGCGAGCCACCCTGCGACCCGCCCCGCGACCCACCCCGCGGACCACCCGCGACCCAACCGCGACTCACCCCGCGACCCACCCGCGACCCACCCCGCGACCCACCCGCGACCCACCCCGCGGACCACCCGCGACCCACCCCGCAACCCGCCCGCGACCCATCCCGCGACCCACCCGCGACCCACCCGCGACCCACCCGCGACCCACCCGCGACCCACCCGCGACCCAGCCGCGACCCACCCGCGACCCACCACGACCCACCCGCGACCCACCCGCGACCCACCCCGCGACCCACCCAAAATGTTCGGCGCCTGCGGCGGGTTTCTTTTGAATTCGTTCCAGGCGGAGAACCTGCGACCCACCCGCGACCCAAACCGCGCCCGCGACCCACCCGCGACCCACCGCGACCCACCTGCGACCTACCCCGCGACCCACCCAAAATTGTCGGCGCCTGCGGCGAGCTTCTTTTGCAGTGTACAAATCAAAATGTTCGGCGCCTGCGGCGGGCTGTTTTTGAACCCCTTTTCAGGTAGAGGTGGAGAACCCGCGACCCAAACTACGTTCACTGAAAAAGCCAAAACTTCGGCGCCTGCGGCGGGTTTCCTTTGCATTCGTTCCAGGTGGAGAACCTGCGATCCAAACCGCGACCAGTGTACAACTCAAAATGTTCGGCGTTTTCGGCGGGCTGTTTTTTGAATTCCTTCCAGGTGGAGGTGGAGAGCCCGCGACACACCCGCGACCCAAACTACATTCACTGAACAAGCCAAAAATTCAACGCCTGCGACGGGTTGTTTTTGCATTCGTTCCGAGTGGCCCACCAGCGATCCCCCCCGCGCTGAGACGGTCAGAGCACGCACATCGGCGCCTGCGGCGGACTTGCTCGCATTGGTTTCGGAAAGCGCCCTCGTGCCATTCCCCCGATCCGGCCCACGTTGACTCTACAACAACACATCGGCGCCTGCGGCGGGGCTGTGTCTGAACACGTCCATTGACAATCCAGCTGCCTGCTGCAATTCAGCATCCGTGCCCAAAGCCTGGGTTCAGGGGAAGCTGCCTCAAGACGCCCACAATTCAGGGGCCTCGCGGCGCTCAAGGAGCCTCCTGAGTGGGGCGTCCACGAACCCTACCATACAGCACGCTGGTGCCGTACAAGCGCGGCGGCGGATTTTGCATGCCGTCTAAGCCCCCCAAGACCATTTGCATCCACACCAACCCATTCAGCAACGTTACCCTGGCGACTTGCCTGGAGCAGAAAAGTCGGGGAGCATTCAGTGGAACAAAGGATTGGTTTGCCGTTATCTTGAGAAAGAAAGGGCGAGGCAGAGGAGGGAAACAGGGGACGAGGAGGACGCGGAAGAAGAGAGGATGTAAGGAGAATGTGGAAAAGAGGAGGAGGAGGAAGAGGAGGAAGAGGAGGAAAAAGAGGAAGAGGAGGAGGTGGTGGAGGAGGAGGAGGCGGACGACGACGACGACGACGACGACCGTGAGGACGAGGACGCGGACGAAGAAGAGGAGGAGGAGGAGCAGGAGGAGGAGGAGGGCCCCATCGACAAGGAAGGTGAGAGCCACGAGGTCCGCCAGCTCGACGCCCGCGTCGCCCGCGCCCGCCCCCTCACTTTTATCCGCAATTGCAGGGTGCTACGTACTGCAACTAACCAACCGCCACTCAAAGCTTACGACGCGCGGTTTACGCGTTGCTGGCGTTAAGTTGGGCGTGTCCCTCTACAGGGGGGATATTCAAAAATAGTCACAAAATAGTACGGGGACGATTTTTCTACTATATTTGAATATTAGGGGGACATTTTTGAATATTCATTTTTCGCCCCAAATCCTCCTGTAGGAGGACAGGCCCGACTTAATACTAGACACCTAAAAATACTGCAACTAACCAGCCGCCACTCAAGGCTTACGACGCGCGGCTTACGCGCTGCTGGCGGCTTAACACTCAAAAACCTCGTGGCCGCACGGCCATGCGCCGGCCCGGTCGGCGTGTGTGAGGGGCTTGTCCGCTCGAGTCGTCTTTCGTCATTCGCTAGTCGTCGTCTCTGCCCGCTCCTTTCCATGCGGCCCCCATTGGGCCCGTCGCCGCTCCCCCCCCTTTTCCTGGGTCCTCCGCAAGCGCGCCAGCCAAAGCGAAATCGAGTAACGTCGTACTTCAATTGAAGGGAAGCCCCCTCTCTTTGATCCCTCCCCCGTCGGGGGGGTCCGGGGGGAGATACGACGGGGTCACGCGGGGGCACCACCCAAATACGCCTCCTTCCCGGGGGGTCCCAGGTCCCACAAAAGCCCCAGGACGGGCCAAGAGTGCCCGACGAGGCCCCCAAGACGGTCCAAGAGGGCCCCGCATCGCCGAACGATCTGTCCAAGATGCCTTCGTGGCCTCTTAAGGCCCATGAGGCCTGCAAAACGCACCAATAGACCTCCAGGACGACTCCCCAGAAGGCCCCAAGAGGCAACATTCATTAATTTCCCTTGGGTTGGATTTCGGTGTTCTCGCCTCTTCCGCTTCCCGACGCTCCAAGACGGCCCAAGAGGTCCCCAAGATCGCCCCAAGACGGCCCAAAGTCCTCCAAGAGGTTCCCAACATGACCCAAGAGGGCCCCACGACGGCCCGGGACGCCCCCAAGACAGGCCAAGAGGCACCCAAGACAACTCCAAGAGGGTGCCCAGACGGGGGACCCGAACGGACATCTCGAGCCCTCGCCCCCGAGAAGCTCTCAGGAGGCCCCAAGAGGCCTCGAAGGCGCCCCCAAGAAGCCCCCAGGAAGCCCCTGGAGGCCTCCAAGAGGCTCTCAAGAGGCCCCACAAGAGTCTCCCAAAACGCCCCCAGATTGCCCACCAGGGGCCTCCGAAAGCGCTCCGAAGAGATCCGACAAGCATCCCCCTGCTCCCCCTGCTCCTCACCCTCATTCTCCTGTTCCTCCGCCTGGTCTCCATCGTCCTCCACTTGCTCATTGCCCTTCTCGACCTCCTTCTGCCCCAACTCCACCTTCTCATCCTCCTCCTTCTCCTCATCCTCACCCTCCTGCTCC